GCCGCAGGTCTACCACATGACAAATAACTGCTTCAATTTCATTCGTTCGGCAGCAGACTCCCAAATGAAGTTGAACCAATGGGCACTCTAACCTGTGGGGCGGAAAGCACGCATTTACCTGCCATCTACCAACATCACTACCAGTTGGGGCCGGCTTCAGCCTAGACGCTACTATCGACACTTTCGCCCTCAAGTTGCCGTAGCGGTTAGACTAACAGCAGCTCGTCTTTCCGGAGTGTCCATCTTTTCAGATGTAGCAGTAGGCTAGCCGGTTGACGTATCTGCCCTTGCGACTAATTCGGTTAAGTGCCGACGGCTTCTGGTAACGTTTTACCATAACTAACGCCGTCGGTTCATCGAAATAGTGGTTTTATTATCTAAATCCCAACTTTTCACGATAAAATGGCGAGAGTGGCCTCTGTCAACCGCGGTCACTGCATGAGTTTAGCCGGCGCCCATTTCTGAAACGCTCGTGTCAGCTTGTGAGCTAAAAATCTACCATCGATCGTGCTAAAGTCGTACGCAGATCAGTTTTCAAGTTTTGGTAGTCGTGAGATACGAATTTCGTAAACTGATGTGACGATGCTGCTACTGTGGTAGCACGTTGTCGCGTACAAACCTGCTTCTCTCGTCGTTACACGACTGCCCTAAGATTCTGGGGTGAATATCGTTCGTTCAATGCCAAAGACTGGAATGAACGCCAAAGAGCTCTCAAACGGTCGTCTCATAATCATGATTTCCGTAATAGGAGGGCCTATCGTTAGTCTTTTGCGCTTCTTTCCAAATGAAAACCACTTGCACATGATCAAACTTGTTTTAGGCTCAAGTTTATTACCGAGGACTATATGCCTAGGCTGATGGAATCCATCCATGACGGCGTCTAAAAAATCTGATGCAATGATGCCTGGTATTTCCGTTCCTAGATCGTCGAAGGCGCTCATTACTATTTTACAAGGTGCCGCGTGAAAGTGACTGAGACGTCTATTTGGCTCATTTACGGGATCCAGCCCTCGCCGTTCAACATAATAAACTTCGCGACCTTCAGCGAGACGAAGGGCCGCCCTTGAACAAACAGTCCTATTAGACTCACTGCAATTATTTTTTCTAGTTAACATCGAGGATGTAACGAGATGCAAGTCTGAAGTCATCCCGGTGAGTTCCTGCCGACGCCAAATGAATGAATCACAGGTGATGTGGACGGCAGTTACAGCGTGGAGTAACAGATAAAAGCGTTGGTACGAATGCGACATTAGCTTTTTCTCTACATATAACCAAAAGGCTCAGTGGGGATTAACGGTACCCGCTAAAGGTTAGCTTTGCCCTTCAACCCGACTTCCTGGTTTCAGGACGGCATCTGGAGTCCACAGAGTACGTTGACATTGAAGGAGAGAAGCTGCGGTAACGCAACTCTTCGCATTACCTGCATCGAAACGGTTAGATCACCCATTGCCCAGGATATCTGAAACAACGGTGGAAAATCTGAGAACATTTCAGAGGTGCTCTGGATGGTTTTTTGGAATAAATCCGAAGGGAACTATACTTTGGAGTGCAGACCTACCTCTAATTGCAGCCTCAGTATGTCAAACGGTACTCACTGTCTTTGAAAGAATCCCCCTCCCCCTCGTCTGGACTATGTCAGATCCGTAAATGGACGTACTTTCCGCTGCCTCAGAAGCCTGAATGCCGTGGAAAGACAGTCTCCTACAGGTCGGTGGTCGTCCTAACAGAATGCATAACGAGCAGCGAAGGCCGTGCTTGTGCTGCATCAGAGGACCCGAAGCTTTTATTTAGTTTCATTTGGTCACAGACGGCAGATAAGCCCAGTAGTCACATCTTAAGTTCTCAAACGTCTGCATCTGCTGAAATGACAGGGGACGCCCTCTATTACCTAGTGTCACAAGACAGAAACTGGCAGTGTGCTGCTGCTAAGACGGCTGTTTTGAAGAACATCTGTATCGCTGCAGCGTGCCACGGCCTTCGGAGAACGTAGACTGTGATCGCCATTATCGTCCATGGAGAATTCACGACACCTTATGCGTCTCTACCTGGCCTGTGCGAATAATTTGCAGGCCTGATAGTCGCACGCCTTTTCTGGCGATCCAGTTTGTCCGCGAATTTATCTTTTTATTTGATAAAGGCAACATCTCGAACCGATAAGGTCTAGCCAGTATGGTCTGGCCTAAGCTAGAAATGCACATTTCGTTTTTGAAATAACCAGTTAGCACGATGAACACCCTTTCTTCAAGAACTTTCTACCCCTAACTAATGAAAGTGCACACTAATTAGCTCGATTTCAAAACCCTGCCTGAAAACTCTTCTTTCAACAGCCCCTCCTATTCCTCTTTAGATTGTACTCACCATAATAATATTCATCTGCGTGGGCTCAAATTGGTCTTTTGGCATGAGCGCAGCAGGCGGATGGATCAACTTCACCGCTGCCGTCTCCCTGATCTTCTCCGTCTTCTTCTTCATCATCTTTGCCTTCAACTTCATCCACCGACTGCCCGGACCCTGGGTCCTCATTGTAAGTCTTTGCCTCTGTCGCTTTCATTTGAACTGTGCTGCGTCATGCTAAAAAGGGACATCCTCTCCGCTTAAACATGAAGTTCTTCTTATGCCGGAGGACATTTTGTTTAGATTGTTTTCCAGTCGAGTCTACCATTCCAACTGCTTGTTACCTATTCAATTCCTGAGAGAGGGTTTCGCATGCTGCTGCTTCTAACATGTTTTAAAGGATATTTAAGATGAGTCAGGAATTACTTCTTGATAGTGCGAACTACTGCGTTTCCAACCCACAAAGCCAGTCTTCTGGCCCTGAGAAAAACGTGAGGGGGTTCGTGTCTCCACAGTCGTCACCATTTGAGCAAAACAATTTCTACGTACTTGTACCATAGACTAAGAACTTTATTCCATAGATGCCAGACTGTTCCATATCAAACTAAAGCCCCCTGTTGCTAGAAGAAGTAGAACATTAACAAAGATAAGGGAGGCTAGGATAGGCATTTTTTGATTTTCGGCCGCGTTAACCAGTCGTACCCAATCTCGTGCCTGGATGACCGAGGACTCGAATCGGGGTTCTTTGGTCATTGATCCATGGGTCCGTCGTCCCGTCACCTGCGATCTGGAATATTAACTACTGTTTGAAGTCCATCACTGACCAGCTTACGGGACATACCAGTTCGGTTGCGTCTTTGGACGGTCGCACAACGACCAGTTATGTGTGTATTGACAAAGACAACGGAGAGGAGGGTGGTCGTTCCTGACGTATTAGCCGTCGTCAGCCAGCCGTACACAACCCCAGCACCGGATGACCTAGAATTCGAGCCCAGAATGTTTGCCCATTAAACTTCAAGTCCAACGCGCTTATGCTAGACTGATTGGAACATCACTTTCTCCTCCCGGATACATTTGCTCGGCTACATTTGAAGCTACCTTGAGCGCTCATGTTCTCTAGCCCAGTAGCTTGGTAAGCACACTTGATGTGCGGTCAGTGCTAGAATATGCTGCTGGCTCTAGACTCCGGAGTTTTATGAAACCTGAACTTCAGCGGATTCTCTAACTGGCCTGGCAGTTTTGCACCGACTTTGTGGGACTACTATGTCTCTGATTCCGAAGTCCTTCATTTCTTTCCGATATACCTACAACCACCGACTTGTGAATTGGAAATTTTCTTCCCTTTTAGACCTCCAAGGCACCGTTTAATTTTGTTTAGACTTCAAAGTCACGTGTCGACGGTATTCACTTTTGCGGCCTCATTTCTGGACGGGCTAAGGGCGTTGCATTTTACTCGAGCACTCCCGTCAAGTGTCCTCCCAGATGGTTGCCCGGCGACGAGTTGCCAACAAATGAGCAGTATTAGGAAAAGTGTAAGAAAAAGCGGAACGCCCATGCTTTGCCCTGTCAACTCAGTGAACACAGCCTACCTGTGGTGCCGGACGGCTGGTAGAGCGCTAGTCCATATCGTAGCCACTAGGGGACGCAGTTCAATGCGGCGACCGGGATGAGCTGAGATCTTCCACGGTAGGCCAATAGGGTATGGCTGATTGTTTCAATCGTCTGCTCTACGCTATACTCAAAGATGTCCGTCGACGCGTCGTATCATAGTTCTGTACTTACGCTGACCGTCATTGTTACGATCCTTTTGCTTGGCTGGAGACCCCTTATGAACGGCGGTAGATTAGGTGTATGCCACTGTAGTTGTTGGACGGGAAATTCTTTATTTCGCGCTGTACGTCCTCAGACAGTAGTCCTTCGGTAGTCCAAACCCTGATTAAGCCATAGTGCGCTGGAGAAAGATTGCAGGGCGACTTGGTGGATGGATGGCCTCTTATAAGCGCACGGAAAGGCGAATTTCAGGCAGCTGTTGAAAAATAGGGGCCTCGGTCTCTGGGACATGGATTTCTTTTACCGTACGTTTCGGATCAACTCATCAACGCAGCATAGGGCGCTGCAATCCAAAGAAATGCCGATCGTCCCTGCTCCACTACACATCTTCTACAATTACCAGCTTCCGCATTTATCGCGGAGGTGTGTGTATGGTGCAATAACGGCCTGGCGACCCACATTCAAACCATCAAAGACCACGTTTTTCGCGCCGGCGCTTGTATCTAACCTGACGATTGCGGAGAAGTCGGATCCCCCATTGCTGTCAGGGGAGTTAGTGTTTACCCACACAGCCGAGCGCTGGATACGGAAAGGAGAGACAATTGCGTCTTTTGATGTACTACAGGCCACAATAAACCCTAGCATACGTCGCTCGTGTTTCACGCAGTTGGCACCTCTCGCATGAACTTTGGCCTTTTCGAACTTGAAGGTGTGGCCGGGTTCCGTCAAGTGATCCGCGACTTGAGAGCTGGCGTCATTTATCAACGCTGACGACATTGCCTTGCAGGCAAACACGAAAGACCAAACGACAGTCCGACAATCGCAATCGACGACATCCTCTGCGTGCCCCACGGAGTTGGCGCAGCGCACGCGAATTGCGCGCGAACTAGTTGCAGACTTGCGCGTCATTTACCGCATTCTGCCCCACTAGCCATGTCCTGATGGCAAGGCACAGCCAAGACGACCGGGGTTGTCGCAGTCGCAGTGACCACCACAGTTAGTCAGTCCCAAACGCATAGAGTTCTTTTGGGTCAACCGTTACTTTTAAGAAGTTACGCAGGCGACTGATGATTCAAACCCACCACTTCAATCCAAAGCTTATCTAGTAATTGAGGTAACGCTCGGTCACTGACCCCCAGCCCACAACATAATGGTTGCGATCAAGAATTACACAAGGTCATTAGGTTCTGAACGGTAACGGTCGTTCAATTTCTGCATGAACAGGCAACGAGTAATCGACAGCGGATACTTTCGAAGGTAATGGCTCTTGGAATGACCGTTTCTGGTTTATGTTCTGTCATCTAGACCGCGAGAATCTGATGTCTAACCCTGGTTCGACTGGTCATTTAGCAAATGACCATTTCCATCTCGCAGTGTCAGGATCAGCAAACGGCGATCGCTGAATCCATGTACTTTACTATAAATGTCATTCAACATTGCTTGTGCGCCGAACCAGCTCAGTGCAGGGAGCAGTCATGACAAGTAGGATTAGTGCTGACGTATCGAGCGGACCATGGATGGCACGTAATTCCATGTTTTTTTTTCCGGAATAGCACCCTGATCATCATTAGGTGGAGTCTCCTAGGTTTGCGTCGTGCCTGTCGAAACCTGTGAGTCTTACCGCCGCCTGCACTTCCATCTACCGAACATGCTTAAACCCGTCACGGGTGCCGCACGAATCAGGCGGACCAATTTGGTCTGCTCGTCGGTAGAACGAGACATGCTGGTTGAGTGTTTTTTTTATGGCGGGAGGTCGGGCTGGCATTGTGGTTTCCGACAAAGCTCCTCGGGGCACCACCGGATGTGCGCACGTGTTGAGACCTGCTGTAGGAATATTCGCCGGAACCGTGCCCAGTGTGTTACTGTCAGCCTGCATGCCTGCGGCCGTATACCATCCATGGAAGTCTATCTTTTGCAGTATGTGCCTGTGGATTTCAGTAAATCGAGGCACTTTGCTTAACCATTCACGACGCTAGGATTTACACTTTTCTGACAATATATAGTGAAGGAAATGACGAGCCTATTAACTTCAGTGGCGGGGATGCCGTCTTGCCCTTCATTTTAAATATTTTATGCTTCTTTCCGGCAAAGGTTTTAACCTCTTGCCGGTAGTGGTTTCATTTGAATATTGTGTCAGTCAGCGTCGATAGTATCCGACTTAAATACTCCTTCCTGTTCAGGATTACAACCCCGCCCCGGCTTTCTTTCTCAGATTCTTCAAAGCCACCAGACGTCCATTAGTCGACAGCGAGCACCTCTAGGGGAAGGGGGCAATCCTGTTTGCTATAAGATCTCAGGGAATTTGGCTTCCAATCTGTTTCCGCTGTCTTGTGGTTTACTTGTTCTATCCAATCACGGGTCATCCGAGTCATCAAATTGGCCTTCAATTTTCTTCGCGGGTCTATTTTTTTTCTTGTTCCCATATACAACTTGAAACCTAACGGGGGAACTTTGACCCAGGTCAGAAATGTCTACACCGGTCCTCCGGGTTTGTCGGAGGGGATCCATCTATTGTTAGCCTATTAAACGAACTGTGAAGTTCGACACGGACCCGTATCTGTCACTCTCTCTGATTATGGGTTCGAGCATATATCTGAAACGTCGGACGAATAAAACTCTTGTTCCAGCGATCGCTTCTACTTCTTATCAAATATATTGCCCTTGCTTGCCAGGGGAACACTTATTTTGCAAATTGTGTGCAACAAGTCGGACTCGCCGATTGAGTGCGCATTTGTGACGGGAGGTGTAGTCACATTCTGTCATCTGTGCATGGGCCAGATGATGTAGGCTCTTAAGTTTTGGGCGTGGTCAGTTTCGTCGACGTGTCTTGCTAAGATACTGGGGGAGCAAGTAACCGCTCTGTCTGCAGAACTGGAGGATTTCCATTCTGGCTTCCGTTCTGACGATCCTGTACAACTGGGTAAAGACCATTTGCATCTGACTAGGGGGTTATGCTGTGCTATTTTTCAATTTTTTTCCTGATTTGTTATCTTTTCCCATCTCGAAAAGACCAACCAGCAACCGATGAGCATTTGAAAAACCCTTTTTATTGCACTCCAATCACGACATTGCACCGGAAGTGCCTAGGGCTAGCACAGCGCCAACCTCGCTCTGCCTTCCCGCACCCATTCTTTTACCATAGCATGGACCGGACCAAAGGCACTGCGAATGGTCTGGTGTCAGCGCTCTCCAGGCATTTGTTCCCCATCTCTCGCCTGCAGCACACTCGCTTATCACTCAACTTACACGTTTCAGTATTTACACCCTCGGGTGTCATAGTTTGCCACCAAAGCCTGCCAGCTGGGAGCCTTCCGGGCCACGACGTTTATGTCCATCTGCACTTGAGTCGTACCTGTATAACAACCCATAAGTCTCTCTGCCATCTGAGAATTCGATAACTTTTCTGCAATACTACACTTCTCCGTCGCTCTTGGGGTGTGTGTGTTGAGTCCTTCAATTCACACAAACATTAATTCATCCGGATGCATGTCCTTCGATCTCCATCTGGTATGAGACTACTGCACCCACCTAATTCCGAGGTTAAACTCACAAAGCACGTGCTGACTGGCAATATGAGCACATGCTTGGTGGATTTTATGTCACTACATGACGCAACTGCGTTGTCTTTATCTCATCACTGGGTCTTCCGTCGTTCCCCATGCGATTTTCGGCAGAACTGGAGTTTGCGAATTACAGGGCAATGTTGGTGAACTCCTACCTATGCCAATTACTGTTGCTCTTACATGTGTATGCATTACATAACTTCGCTCAAGTTGCTAGTATTCATATTAAACCTTGTAAAGATTTTAGCCGAACCGTACAAGTGCTGCCCCGATGACTTTGCCCCTTTTCTGCATGTCCCTTTAGTGCCAACTTCTTGTTTTTATGACAAACCATTCTCGCGCCGTTTTGCCCCTACTCAATCCCCAGGAGTGGCTAACCGTACTCACCAGCAAGGGCAACCGACTATTCATGTGTCATTTTCATTTTCGCAGGACTTTGTCGTGCAGGCCGTGCTCTGTTTCCTCATGACGGTGTCGCTAATTGTGGCCGCCGCAAGCTCATATCGGGGAGGTTCGGCGATCGCTGCTGCCGTAAGTTGCCCTTTCTCCTTCTCCCCCAGTTTTCCTCCTCTCCCGCCTCAAAAATCTACCCAATCGGGATCAGGGAAAATACCATCATTGAGTAGCCAATCAAATGCATTCGCCGCCATCGTTGTTGCAAGGCCTTTTCTAAGCAATGGCGGCAGCCTATCCAAAACTTTTATTCTCGCACGAAGTGGGTGGCGATTTTGCGCCGTGCTCTCGCAGGTGCCTACGACAAACCCCTTGAAGAGGCAAGGTCAAAGCTGAGTCGGTTAATTCGCGGATTATCCCTGGTCCATTTTCTTCTAAAACTGCGACGAAGACTTGGACGCAAACCTGTAAACCATCTCACATTTTTTCAGCCGTCACAAGATTGACTTCAGTTGGAAGCGAGTCTATTTTTGCTGGATTTTCCTTGACACAACAAACCCGCGCACGCACTTAGTCATATCAACGTAGCCGTTCTGGGTGTTGTGGGATCTCACGGGTTAAGAATTGCTCTTTTTACGTCTGGTTCTCTGAATTAGAGGGTCAAAATTGCATCATGCTAGGTAGTGCCTCTACCTTCTGCTTTTATCGAACATCATCGGTGATGACTCAGGCGTCTCGCACTTTTTGGTTGTCGTCGTGAGACTGACGCCCCATGCTTAGAGTCCAAAACGGCGAAACGAGCATCAGCGCTACGTCGGCAAGCGATTTGTGTTACTTCGTACTTTAATCTGGTCTGTCAGAGAGGTATTGACGGACCGACAAGGCATGCGTTTAATAGTGCGATTTCTGGGACTATGCCAATACTGTTGCCACTGCCTTTGCTGTTAAGAACGAAGGCTCCTGATTGAGCACCTTTAAAACAGTTTAACTGTAAGGCAGAGCACGTTATATCCGCCACCAGACTCCTCTTTTCTATTACTAATCTTTTAAATACCGTATAACTGTTTTGTCAGCGTTATTGCTGATAGTATTGGTATATTTCCATCAACACATTCAAAACCCCTAATACCGGTGGTATTAACGTTAACTGGCAAGGCTCAGTTACGATGTCCTGGTCGCAAGTATAAGCGCAATGTGGGTATTGAAAGTGAAGTAAGCCGAAGGGGGATGCCGAAGTCGTTTGTGGGGAAAGTAGACGAGGCTGAAACGGAAAAGGCAACCAGATGTGTGACAAATCTGTCGCGAGATTGAAGGAAACTTAAAATCCCCGCAAAAGACCTGGTTGACAGGAAACTTGTGGCAACAATACCCCATACCTAACGGCAAACCTAAGCGTAACCTCAGACGTAAGCTTAATCCCTAACGTAGTTATAAACCTAACGCCAACCCCAAACTTTACACTTAACCCAACCTTTAACCTACCGCAAACCCTGACCTTGAGCGTAACCCAAACCCGCACCCTAGCCTAATCGCAACCCTGCCCCAACCCCAACCTTAACACCAAACGTAAACCTAAACCACAATCCAAACTCTTACTGTAACCGGAAAACTTAAACTTAACACAAACTCTAACCTTAAACTGAATTCTCAGCCACATACTTATCCAAACCCCAAAACTAACCCTACCTCTAAACCGAAACATCAGGTTGCCCTTTTCCCTTCTAGCTTTGGCTACTTTCCCACTAACGATTTCAGCATCCTCCTTCGGCTTTACTTCCAGTGCCCACATTGCTCTTACACTTAGAACCAGGACAGCGTAACCTACCTCTACCGGTCACAGCACGCCTTAACCTGTTTGAGGACCCATAAAAATGCCACACATGGAGGTTTGATAGCGCGCCCAGGCGCAGGTATATGCTGCGCCAGCCGCTTGCACATAACTGCTGACTGTCCTGGGCAGTGGTCCGGTGTTTGGGAGAGAGAGAGAGAGAGAGAGACGTGGAATAGGGAGTAGGAACGACGCTGTGGAATCTGTCCTCACGACACTTCAGCGCATTTCCTCACTATAAGCAATCTGACCTGCTACTAAACAATCACAATGAGCTAACAGCCATGGTTTAGAAGGCTGCCAACTGCAATGGCTCCAGCATAACATGGCGTCAACGGCACGCTCACTCAGATGCGATCTGGGCCCTCCTCTGTTTCTGTGAAATCCCAGTCCATCGTAGGCGGACCAGATGTGTATAGGATGACCAAATGGGTTGTTTGGATTTGCTAGCCACTGCGCCGATCTCGCCTACAGTCTTCTTGACTCTCTTTTGACACCTGGGATCAGGTGGAGTTAGATCGAAGTCCAGGCGGCGTTATAGGAAATAAGTGTTTTCGAGCGACCAGTGTAGCCATATAAGTGACATGACAGTTTGACCGTCGTTGTCGACGATGTCCACCATATGCTCCACGGTAAGATGATGCAGGCACGGTGACCCGCGCGCGAGCTAGTTTGTAGTGAGAGCTGACTTGCGCAGCATCTACCGGAGGGAGTAGACGCAGGTGGCTGGTGCGGTCGAACCCGCACCAAGGCGTGCCACCGCCTCTCCCCTGATCAGGGTTTCTAACCAACAACAACAGCACAATGGCGTGGGGCGCTCACCGATCGTTCTTATGGAACTCACTCGTTCCATGGTGCCTTACGGGCTCTCTCTCGAGCCCAACCAGCAGCCGCACAGCGGCGCGTGATATAGGTAGTATGATGCTATTACCGACAAAGACAAGGGAGACTGGAATGGCCATTTCTGGCTTATTAGTCGTCGTCAGCCAGCCATCTCCAAGCCCGAAGTGTGGAACACCCGAGCCTCGAACTCGCGACCTGTTGGTTTAGAAGTCCACGCCTCTACCCACCGGGCCACGAGCCCGTTGCCTTGTCGGTTTTCGATCGGGAGTATACAATGGTAGGGGGCGCTCACCGATCGTTCATACGGAACTCAGTCGTTCCGTTGTGCCTTAAGGGCTCTCTCTCGAACCCAACCAGCAGCCGCACAGCGGCGCATGATATATAGGCAGAATGGCATTACCGACAAAGACAAGGGAGACTAGAATGGAAATTTCTGGCTTATTAGCCGTCGTCAGCCAGTCATACCCAACCCCGAAGTGTGGAAGACCCGAGGCTCGAACTCGCGACCTGTTAGTTAGAAGTCTAACGCCTTTAACCACTGGGCCACGAGACCGTTGCCCTGTCGGCGCGGACATCTAACTTACAGGTCGCGTGTTCGAGCCGCGGGTGTTCCAAACTTCGGGGTTGGGTATGACTGGCTGACGACGGCCAATAAGCCAGGAACGGCCATTCCAGTCTCCCTTGTTTTTGCCGGTAATAGCATACCAACATCAACAACAACAACGGGTCAAAAAAGGACGATGACTGGACAACCATACACACGATCTGCATTACCCAACGGGAGCGCAATCGCATATACCGGCGGGGAACCAGGGGTCAGAGAACTGCCATCGTCAGTTGAATCATGGCGTAGCAGACTCACACAATCCTTAGGGTCCTCGCACACAGATAGCGGACCAAGTAATGTGCCGAGAGTAGATCATTGTCCTGACGATTTAGTCAGCCAAATTGCCCGGACGTATGCATTTAGCTTCTACCATGAAAAGTTCCTCTGGTATTTCCATCTCAAAGCCTAGGGGTGGACACATTTCTAGGGTATTATCGATTTTTTTGTATTTGAATTGCCTTTTACATCAAACTGTTTTCGCGATGTCTGACCTTGTCAACCGTTTCTTTACAGAAGACCTGGATAGTGCTTTTTGCGTGAACTGGACGTCCTATGAACCACCCGCAGTAGTGCTTCTAGTTTTTTGCGTTATTTCCATCCGTTTGCCACTTTTATCGTTGATACTTGCGCCCGCATTAGACGCTGCGTGCGATGTTTGTGTTTTAGTGTTCTGGTAGTATGGACGTCTGCCCTTCAAGTTTTTATTCGTTTTAACCTTTTTGCTGATTCGTGCTGCTGTGTCTCTGGACTTTCTTCTTAGCTTCAACAATAGACACACACAAACACAGTTTAGAAGCGGATGAGCGTCAGCATAATTCGCAGACTCCCGCTTGCGCATCCTCGTGTTCTCTTTAGATGCCCGATCCGTTTAATGTGTCCGGAGTTTAGTTTGTTTGCCTAGAGTGTCGTCTATGGCAACAGCATCCTAGAAATCTCGACCGTCTTATCCGAATCGCGGGACGAAGTTGACTTCAGGTCACGTGCTCCACAGCAGGGGCAAATTTAACTACCCGCTGACTTGTCGAGACGGTCTACGCAGACCATGTGCACTAAGTAATGCCAACTTCGTTGTCCGGGGTTTCAGGGCGAACCTGCCGTCGGGACGTAGTGCTGGTAGAGGCGGGTAAAACTGGAACGACCGTTTCAACCATCACCAGCCACCGTACAAGAGGACCTGGGTTCTGAAAACTGGCCCGGTTGGTTATTGGGGTGAAGGCTCTATCAATCGAGCCATGACTCCCCTCTCTGCTGGCTGCGATCGAACTATTGAGCCTCACATGAATGTGACGTTAATCGGTTTGTCTCGATTGCAGGGCGCAGAAAACAGTCGGTGCTTTTCAGTGTTCCCAGTCCAGCCAGCCGTCAAAGTTTACGACCACAGTCGGACCTGTAGATTGTCAAGCTCTGTTGAATAACTGAGTCCGATCTTAAACCAAAAGCCTTCCCAGCCGTGCATTGTGGTATGGCAGGTTGAAGGTGGGGAGCATATCAGAAGTTTCCGTTGCAGTCTCCATCGCTTTCCTCGGTGAAACGCCTGGGTGGTCTACACCGGTCTCTGTGTTACAGCTCGCTAGGGTTCTTCACATGTGGACTAAGGCGGCAACACGGAACATTTTGACCCTCTCCGACAATCAGGCCAGGTCGGTTACCACATCATCTGCGTTGATCTGCCGCCGCCTCAGCCCGCATTTGTACGGTAACTTTTTTGGTGCGAGACCGTGTGTGCATTCCAATTAGGCAAGCCCAGTGTGCCCGAAGTGATCTTTAGTGCCCGAAGTATTTTCTAATATTGTGAAAAATCAACAGATTACGATGTATTTTTCGAACATCCCGATGGCGCTCTAGGCTGCGGTATTTCTGTTCAGTAGCGCCTTGTCCGGTCACTCACCAGACAATGGCCTCTCGAGTCTTCTGGATCGCATTTTTTGACTGACTGGCATACTCAATGTCG